TTGAGGAAAGAGAATCTCCTCTGTTTGAGACTAGAGAGTAGCTGCCTGCTCATTGAAGGCAATAATCATCTGCCCTTCACTGTAAACAATACTAAGCTAGAGTGACCGATGGTCAGATTTCCTATGTTCTTGCCTTAGCCTGTAATCAAGGGCCATTATGTATCCAGGACTATGCACAGAGAGGACCCAACACTCCAGTGCATGGAAAAGACAGAGGGTTAGGAAACCCCAAAGAAGGGGAAAATGTAGGTTTGAAGGTGGTTGAAGACAATTGCTACCAGAGTCCTCTGTTTCCCACTCAGGCATCAAGAACGCGGACAGCAGCGAGCTGACCAAAGTGGCTTCCACCCCCACGGAGGATTATTTCTTCTTTGTCACTGACTTTAAAATCCTCTCAACTCTCTTGCCGCTGGTGTCACGGAGGGTGTGCACCAGCACCGGGGGCATCCTACAGCCAGCAGGTAAAGGTTCGGGGTGGGGTGCAGGTGCCGCTCAGCTTTGAAGTGCTGCTTCGGTCCTGATTCTCTCTCTCTCTCTCTGGCAAGGGTTGCAAGGGGTTAATTCCCAGCCTGCCCTGTTTCCATGGAAATGCATCAGCAAATCCTGGAGGAAGCTCCTGATCTAATCAATGTGATACTCCACCAGGAACCCTGACCTAAGCTCAGTGTTGGTTTAACCTCACCCTGCGGGTGGGTAGCATTCAATCTTCTTACCCTCCAGTGCTTGCTGGTGTCAACATAAGTTGCTCATCGTTCTACAAATCCTTTCAGCTTTTTTGTGGGGGTGGGGGGGGAAGGAACTGCTTTTCTGAAATTCTTGGCCTTTGCTCACCTTACCTTCTGGGCCTGTGGTGAGCTGCATGTGCCAGCAAGGATCTTGATTTATTCTCTCTGTTTCCTCCCTCCACTTTAAGGTACAGAGACATATGGTGGCCCCTCGAATTTGGTCTTCTTGGAGCAGGGAACAGATATGCTGAGGATCCGCTGGACAGCAGCTGGTGGTCCTGTAATAGGCTACAAAGTCCAGTATGTGCCTCTCACAGGCTTGGGGCAGCAAATAACAGCTGAGAGGCAGGAGGTGAGGCTTCCCATTTCAGCGCAGTCCTAGGTGTCTTTTCCTAGCTGTAAGTCACAAAAGGCAGGCTAATCCTAACTCCCCACTGATGGGGACCCTGTGGAGTGGTGGAAACCAGCACCACATCCACAGCCTGGCCACTCATGGCGGGGAAGGGGCGGGGAAAGCCTGGAGTGGATGCAGGGAATGGGACCAACTCCAACCCTGTGAGAGCAGCTTGGGAGCCAGCAGATCCCAGACCAGCTCAGCCCTTCTCTTGGAACACCCTGTTTTAGCGCCTTCTCGCGATACTCGCCAGTCAAGTCTTTTCCGCCCTGGCTGCCATGTTTGGCAGGCAGAAGCGGGGAAATCTGCGCTAGACAGACGTGACAACTTGGTCGTCCTGTCAGAATCCACCCGGCCAAGCAACCTAAGAAAGGACGGCCAGCTCAGCTGGCAGAAGCGAGTTCGAAACCAACATCTGCTGCTTCAGTCCCAAGCCCTCCTGCCCCACAGTCCCCCCCCCCAAGTGTAAGGAAGCTTGCGATTGTAGCTTAAAACAGTAAATGATGCATTTATATGTTGTACCGCCCCTGCCCCTCCGGGCAGTTAACTTAGGGTTGATAAGGAAGTAAATGATGGCAGATAGTTATCTAGTGCCAACCACCGCCCTAACATATTGACCATCTTCCCCTGGCGGGCGCGGAATGAATAGGCTTCAGAATTCTGTGAATTTACTTTTTAAGCACCCAGGAAATAAACTTGACCAGCAGCTGCCGGTGTTGTCGCATTGTACATTATTACTTATGCACCTATTTACCCCAGTTTATATGCACCTCCCTTACAAGCTGCAGTTAACTGCCACAGAGAGAGAAAATAGAGAGTCCATGGATCTTTGCCTGTGTTTCCCCCCACAACTTTGGGGAGTTTTGTGTGATTGGATAGAGATAAGGAACCAGCGAAGAGAAATGGGTTAACCTGGGCTTGGTGCCTTCCAGATGTTTGGGGCCCACTCCTGATAGGGTCTAGCCAGTGGGAGTTTGGGTCTGTAAAAGACCTGGAGTGGCACCAGGTTGGCAAAGGCTGGGTTAGACACTCCTCCCTCAGTACTGTTGCTCCAGTTGAAACTCAAGGTTCTCCCTCTACCTGTCTTCTGTGTAGCCCTTTGGCTGCTTCACCCAGCCTTTACTGTCCAGGTGCTAATTTTAGTTGTAAGAAGTTCACCCACACAGTTCACTATGTTATAGGAGGCCACTGGTAGTCATGGCTTCCTCCTTCATGTGCACGCAGTTTAAAATGGATACA